GTGTGTGTGTGTGTGTGTGTGTGTGTGTGTGTGTGTGTGTTTACTTCACTTTCAGTTTTCTCACAAGGAATCTTTTTCAGTAGAGGAATTTAGATGCCACTTTTACTTTTATCTTTTTGAAATGCCTCCCATAGACCCCATCTATTCTCCAAACAGATATCTCCTAAGAGCTGACAAAGCTAAGAAAGAGAGAAATGTGCTTCTAGCAATGTTGAAGAAATACCCAAAGATAAGCCCTGTGCATAGTTGGAATTTAGGAGGTAGCTGTAGGCAAGAGCTCCATCCAGCAGGGGCTTTTTGGATTGCCTGTCTCTTAGTCTTATAGGAAATACACTTATTCAAGATTCTTCCCTATTGCTATAAGGAAAATAAACCAAATATCTGAATCAACAGACAAGGCAGAGAGAAAAGCTGGTGATTTGCAAATGGTACCAATAAACAACTTGAGGCCTGGAGAGACACAGAAGACACGATCACTGGATGGTCAGGGGTTGTGATGAAGGGACCACTGGGTAGAAAATGTCAGACATTAGAAGACTACATCCTGTAGAGCCAGAAACAAGAAACTAGTCATGTAAAGGGGACAGTGAAGTGTGTGTGATGTGGCTTTCTTGAGTAAGAGGAAAGTGGTAACTGATATGGCCAAAAGAAAGACATTCATATCAGATGACGGGGAATTTGTACTTGCAATGCACTACATCTGGGAGACACAAAAGGCTTTGAGTCAAAAAGAAAAGGCATAGAAAAAGAAGTGAGATTAGAAGGAGTGAGGTATTCTTAACCCAAATGACTCCTAAAAAAAAAAAAAAAAAAAAAAAAAAAAAAAAAAAAAAAAACTGTCCTTTCTCCTATGGTGAAGTGGACCCAAGGACAGATGTCCCCAGAAGCTGAGATAGTTCCAGAAGGTTAGAACAGGCAGATGTGAGTCTGTTGCATATTGAGGATAAAGAAGCAGAAAAGAATGTGAATAGCAAACAGTGCCTCTCTCTACCCTCCCTCCCTCTCTCTTTTTTTCTCTCTCTTTCTTTTCCTCTCTCTCTCTCTCTCTCTCTCTCTCTCTCTCTCTCTCTCTCTCTCTCTCTCTCTCTCTCTCTTTCCCAGCATTGACCTACCTTCCTCTATCAGAGCTGACCTTTATGTCTCCCTTGTCTCCCTACCCTACTGTATAGTGTAGAGATGCAGTTTTAATGCTGCATTATAGATCCTGTTTGATTTGAGGGTCTTTGCAGGGGGGGAGGGGGGAGCCTCTATTTAGGGAAGAGGGAATTGCTGTTGTTTATCTTGAGATGGTAAGGTGTGAGTGTTCTAGTTCTGGTTTTCACACTAATCAGCTATGTGACTCTGAATTAGTCATTCTCAAACTAGAATGAGAGATTCAGGGGTGTGGCTTACTTGGGAGAATTCTTGATTAGCATGCACAAAGAAAGCCCTGGGTTCTTGGATTCAGTACTCTGCACTGCATAATTGAGCATGGCAGCATATGCCTATAATCCTAGTACTCAATACCAGCAGGAGAACTAGCAGTTCAAGCTCATCCTTGGCTTCATAGTAAATTGAAGCCCAGCCTGGGCTACATGAGACTCTGTCTCAACAAAAGTTCAGTGTTCCTAACCCCTCTAAACCTGGCTTCCCATTCATTGCCTGACACTTATTTCTGAACAAAAGCAGCTTTAAATTGAAGTTGTCTAAAGACATCTAACTATATTGTCTTCCCATAATGATTAGCTTGATACCTTTAAACAAAAAAGAAGCCACATTTACAAGCATTTTTCTCACTTTAGTTTTCTCATTTTGCACTATCTGAGCATATGTTGAGTTACATGTAGGTGATCTAGCCATAGCTGGGTCTGATCTCCATTCATCACCTTTCTTATCTCTGAGAGAACAGTGGAACCGAAGGAGTCCACCTTCTCTGACTTCAGCTTCCACAACCTTATAACCTCAAAGCCTTGCTTTCCATCCACATTTTTCATTGCTATCTTATCTTGACATTTTATGTCTTCTAAATACAATGTCTTCTAAATACAATGCAAAAAATAATGTTGAACTTCCATGTCCCATTAATTCCTTATACTTCTTACAACTGTCTACAACAATGAGTATCTGGGAAACTCATGGGAAAAAAACAAATAAACATGTAGTTGTGTCTCATTATGTCTAAATCTTAAGACGATTATGTGTCTGTGGTAAGATAAGATCCTTGACTTTCTAGAAGGAAGCATTTTGGAAAAAATTAAAAACCCTCCCTGATGTAGAACACCTGACAATAATATAGGGCATGGTTCTTTAAAAGCTTCTCAACCTTGCTAAGTTTCTCTCTCTCTCACTCTCTCTCTCTCTCTCTCTCTCTCTGTCTCTCTCTCACACACACACTCACACACACACACACACTCAAACATTTACTGACTGATTAACGTTTTGTATGGTAAGTCTATCTTTAATAATTTGTAAAATTTCTCACAAAGCCACTGCCATTTGACCTTTCACCTCTGACCTAAATGCACATTTTCCATCTTGGTTTCCAGGGGTACTCTGAGAGCATAGCAGTAGAAGCCAAATCTCTCTATAAGCTTTTCTGTGGTCTGCCCTTCAGATGAGATCTGCACATTATTTGCTGGAAGGTTTCTACAGCAGATGTGAGCAGGCAGACAAGCTAGCACGCAACCTCAAAGCCCAGAGCATGCTGCGCCAGGCACTCACACACTTGCCAATACCAAGCCCAGAAGTGCTGCAGGGTGATGGAGGGAGTGTGCTCTGAGGGGCAAGCGCTGCTCCAAAGCCCTGCTAATGTCTCTGTGTGGCCATGCTGTATTTTCAGCTTGTCATCATGGCTGGGACAGTGCTGCTTGCCTACTACTTCGAATGCACTGACACTTTTCAGGTGCATATCCAAGGATTCTTCTGTCAGGATGGAGACTTAATGAAGCCTTACCCTGGGACGGAGGAAGAAAGCTTCATCACCCCTCTGGTGCTCTATTGCGTTCTGGCTGCCACTCCAACTGCTATTGTAAGTACAGAAACAGAGTTCTTTGTTGTCAGGCACCTGAAAGTATTTCCTGTCTGCCTTTTCTCCTCCTTGCTGTCTTTCTGGGTTCTCACCAGCAAGTAGCCTTATCAACACTATCCTGTTTCAGTTGGAGGCAGACTGAGTTGGAAGTCTGCATAAAAACAAACAAAAATTAAAACTGATCTTGCCTTTTATAGATAGGTGGAGTAGTTTTGCATTTTAGTGTCTTTGGTTTTTGAAGCTATGTTTTGTAAAGCACCGGTGAATGTCAGAAGTTAGCAGACATGGTTGGCTGGCCTGTTAAGAATAGCTACTGTGCTCTCGGAAAAAGTATTCTTAGAGTTGTGTGTATTCAGGAACCCGACTGTTAGTGATGATGGCATTACCATAGAGACTCAGATCAGAGGGGAGCAGAACCCTCCAGCTGGTACCTCCTGCTGCCACAGTTGAACTGCAGAGGCCAGAGATGAGCAAAATTACTTGGCCCAACTATGGTGTCTCTGCCGTTGTCCAAGTCACATCACACTGAGCTCAGTTGCAACTGTACCTTTGCTTATTCCATTGTCCCTTTAGAGGTCAAAAATTGGACAGACAGCCCTGTAGGGAGACTGCTTCAAGGGCATAAAGTTTGCAGATCCATGTTAGGCAGCCAAGTGATTTAACACTTAGACATTATCATTTTATGAGAGTGTTAAAATAAACACTTCTGTGTCTGAACACATTGCTGTTACCAGGGCAGATTAATCCGGGTGTAATTTCAGTTCCCGCTCTGTCCTTCCTTTCTAATAGCTTCCTAATAATCCCCCACTCTTCCACTTGACCTCTACATGCCCTCTGCTCTCTTTCAGTCAGGGCCTTCATAAAAATACTGACTGACTTACTGAAGAATACTATGATTGCTCAGACATTCAACTCAAAAGCTATTCTCCGTGGCAATGCTTCTCTTGCCTATTGATGAAAAGTGACTGCAATTTTGAGGATATAGAAATAATGATTCATCACACTTTAAGTTTATTCAAATTGTTCGATCCAGCCTCAGAAGAGCTCCCCTTAACTACTAAGACTTCAGGAGAAATGATAGCAATATTGATGAGATGCAACACAATGTATCTGGGTGGTTAAAAATATTAGGTCTATAGAACAGCATATCTGGTTCACATCCTGGCTGGGTGGCTCATCTCATTGATTCCTAGCAGACAAGACAAAGTTGTCATTGGGTTTAGAAATGACTTCCTAAAGAACCTGGAGTAAAGAACCTGGAAGGGAATTACCCTCCACCTGCTTTGGCATCACAGGACAAAGGTCCTCATCTGAGAATTATTACATTCCATTGAGTATCCCTGTATGGCCTCTTCTAAAGAGATGGGAACCTGACATAACATCTATGTCTCCTTCCCCTTATCCTTTCTTATTAGCCCTGGGAAGAAAAGGAAGCATAGAAAGAAAATATTTCTGTGTCTCACAAGGCAGAAGACCCTAATCCCCAGATAAAATGAAGAAGCAGGTTAAGATCTGTCTAGAATGGATGGGGGTGGCTCTACCACAAAGCAATGCTTTAGTCTGGAATTGGATTGCGCCATAAGTATATAAAATCTTTGTGTTCAGACATGAATTGATGAATGCCTTGTTGAGTTACTAACATATTTTCTTTCTAGTCTCATTATCATTCTTTATATTTTCCTATAATTATTTTGTATTTATAGGTATTTTACCCATTAAAAAATCTAAGACCAGTACAAACATTAATAAAGATGAATGGAAAATTAGAATCAGAAAAACAGTATAATTTCTGAATAAAATCAAAAGCAAATTCTTCAAAATGTTAAGTGTACAGGAAAGTGGAAGAGGCAATATGGAAAACTATTGGGGATGAGAATAGGGCCCAGGGTAAGGAGAACAAGGAAGGATTAATAGACCAAGGGACAATAACATTTATATGTGAAATTTTCACCATGAAAAAAACATTATTTTGTGTAACTAAAAAAAGAAAGCATTTTATAATCAATGTGTACTCTGCCGGTGTTGCCTAGGTGATCTTCACAGCAGCCTAGTGATATGGAACAGGGATAGTCCAAAGAACATAGAAAACCATGGTCTACAGTCTCCTTCATCTTTCAGTTGAGAACACTGAGGCACAGTTTGAATAAATGATGCCTTGAAGGTTCTATTTTTCTGTAAACAGATAGACAGGGATCTGCCCATTGGGTTCCATTTTTGTCTTTCTTCTCAAATTGGGGGCATGGTTGGGAACCAGGAATGCTCACAACTGATGGGTTAGTAGTAGAGAGTAATACAATCCTCAACCCTGCTAGTCACCAGTGTTATTTCCCTCAAGATCCCAAATCTGTGAGCAGAACCAGGCCAGACATCCTCTGATCTCTGGGAAGGAGCTGTGTTCACGTCTGTCTAGTGAGATATGATTTACACATGTGTGGGTTCTCAAGGTCTCCAAGCCCCAGTGCCTCCTACAGCACACACAACTCAGAGCCCCCAGCATTCACTATCTTCCCTAGGCAGGCATCTCCCTCAGACTGGGACCTCAATAACTGTGTGACTTCTAGCTGTTTATATTCCTGTGTATTCAGTTTTCTCATCCCTACACTTTAGAAAGGATGGGGATCAATGATTTCCAAGACCCTTCTAGTTTCTAGATTTCATGAGAACACAAAAGGACCATTTTGATGGAAGTTTCTACCTGTGAGATTCTCAGCAGGTCAGAGCTGCCTTTCTGGACTCACTTTTGTATGTGTGGGCCTTCACATGTGTCACACGACTATACAGTTTATTCTTTTCTCCTTAAATGAATCCCCTATGCTCCCTGGAGGCAGGTCCTGAAGGCAGGACCACCTTTTGGTAACATGCATAGCAACTAGCAGTACTTTTCAAAAAATTAGCTCTACCTGGATTGTCCTTGGCTTTTTGTGCATCTCCAAGCATAGTGACAGTGGTTGAACTAAGTGCCACACAACTGTGTCTCCACTGATGAATGTTAATCATCCATTCACAGCTGCAGAGATGCACAGGGGAGGAATGAGGGCAAGACAGGGCCATTTGACCTGTAAACTCCCTGTTTTCCCTTTTATGCTTTCCTGTCAGAAAATATCAACCTCATATTGAGACAAGGCCACTTGGGATGAACTGCACAGGGCCAAAGCCACTGCTGTCACATCTCTAGAAGTTGAATCTTGGAGAATTTATTGTGTCCAGAACTGTTTTAACCCAGGCTTCAAAGCAACCTGCAGGGTGTGTTCTGATTACCTGGACAGCTTGTATAACTAACTGCTCCCTTGGGCCTTCTGAATAAACTCAGACTCAGAGGCAAAAGAGAGAGCCAGGGAGCCTGCTTGGATAAGAGGATTTACTGGGCAGAGAATCTGATTTACCCTTATTTTATCTCAGTCCCAGTGGCACAAGGCATGAGAAGATAGCTATTAAACCTTTCTCTTGGCCTCACAATGAAGTGACTGGGGAGTATTTAGCATTGAAGCAGCAGAACATTTGACTCCCTGCCATAGAGAATTGAAATGGCTCACAGCTTGTATGCAAGTGTGAACGCATGCACACACACACACACACACACACACACACACACACACACACCATGCAGGTGACTCAGGAGCAATTTCCTCAGAAAGGAAAAGCAAACACAACTTGATAGAAACTTAGCCAGACTTGCAAATCTTCATTTTTGCATTTGTGCAAGCTCTTTGCATCAAATGTAAAAGGACACTGCAGATCACAGAGCGGTCTGAGCTTGTTGGTGCTGAGCCTGTTGGCTGGCTGACCAGGGCTGCAGCTGCTGCAGTAAAGGGGACATTGTTGGCCTTGCACTTCCTCAGAATACACCTCTTCCGGGCTCTGAACAGTCTCCTCCATTGAAACTCTGACATTTCCAAAGTTACATGTTTCCCTCTGTACCTCATCATGTGACTTCTTTAGACAGAAAATCATTTTGCCACTATTGGTATTATACTGTCTTTACAATTTACACTTTCTTCTGGAGTGAACATAGAGATGACCCAATTAAATTTATGAATTGAAAAATTAAAATTAATTTCCACATTTTTGTTCATACTACAGATTAGCAATATATATTTCTCTTTGTGGTGTTTGTTTGTTGAACTCTTTCAAGTTATTGCCAGCTTAAAGGTATCTTGTTGTTGTTTGTGGGGTTTCATTTTTTTGTTGTTGTTGTTGTTTTGGGTTGTTTTTTGAGACAGTGTTTATTTTTTGTATCATCCCTGACTGACCTGGAACTAGTGGTGAAGACCGGGCTGGCTTCGAACTCACAGAAATATGGCTGCCTCTGACTCCTAAGTGCTGGAATTAAAGTCATGTGCCACCATTGCCAGCATTGATTTTTTTTTTAGTTTTTTTAAAGAATATTGTTTACCTAAAATATGTGCTTCTTAAATTACTTGGAGGTTATAATTGAGTTTACTTTTTATTGAGAACAGGATTTTAATGCAATTATTTTAGGTTTCCATTTCTCTTGTCCAGCAAAACAAAAGGTGTCAGTGAACTCTGTGTTTTTAGGAATATATGGTCCCACTTTTCTACAACACCATGCATAGTCTCAACTAAGATAGTTTTCTGAGTAGGTGGGGGTAGATCCTGGATTGAGATCAGAAGACAATTCCTAGTATTATCACAGACACGGATGCTTTTCAAAACACTACCTGATAGACAGCCTTTCCTATTTATGCTATTAAAAGGCTCTCGGAGTATCCAGTGGGCTAACTACAGCTCTGCAAGTAAAGGAAACAGACTCTCTATAGATCTAGAGTTCTACAGTAGAACTCATCATAAAAGATAAAGACCCAGAATAAAGGAGATTCTCACAGTGAAGGCACAGAATCAACATTTTTTTTTCTCATTTCCTGGCTCACTTTTAAAATCTACAAAAATTTGAAATGCTCATGACTGTGGAAGTCTCCCAGGCAGAATATTGAGTATTAGTTCTCATAGTAACAGAGGGTGCTATGCAATCTGCCAGGGGA